ATAGCATGTATAATATAGCTATATATATTAGATATAGCATGTGATATCTTTATAAATGTCGTGTTATATCACTTTGATCTGAACCTAGTTTATCTTCAGATAAAAATTATATGTTGTAAGTAATGCGTGTTATGGCTCTATTGTAAACTCTGCTGAAGTGTTAGTGTTATTGTGATGCACTTCACAAGTTTTTTCATCGATAACTATGACCAAAATTCGCTAATGTATTATTTAAAGTTTAAATAGAGTTTTAAGTTTAATGTTAATTAAAGTTTAAAGTTTAATACACTATAAAAACAGTTTGTAATAGCCTAATTTGGACAGAAAATAATAAATAAAACAAACTAAGTAGAGTAGTAAGTGTAAGTTGTATGATGCATGCAACAGATTTTTTATATTCAAACAATTTACCTCGTTTTGGTAATTCCCAATTACACTGATATAGTGAAACTTCCCACAACCAAATACCACTGGGAATGACAATTTTGACTCCTTATGAGAATTGTGAAGAATAAAAGGTGTACAAATGGACAAAAATACTTGAGTATGTAAGATTGGATAAAAAACTACATATAATGAATATCTCCTATATATAAATATACCTCCCTGCACAAGAGTTTGCCTTGAAACAGTATTTCCTTAAGAAGAACCTTCAAAGGTTGTAGTGGTATACGTTTTTTAATTAATAAATAAAATAAAATTATGTATACAATAACCTGACTACTAGAAACATTAGTTTGAAATTTTAGGTCCTAAATTCCAGGTGACTGTTAAAGCCTTTTCTCATATTAGTGAAACTGATAGCGGAATGGTATAGATTTGAGCTTGGTTTAGAAATTTTTTTGCTTGATCATGTCATCATCTATGATATTTAACAAAATTGATACAACAAATAAATAAATTGGAAACAATCTAGTGATGAAGATGGTATATTATTTCCACACAAACAATTTTGTGGTATCTAACAGAAACTCATACAACTAAGTAACCATAAGTATAAAATGGAAACATAAAAAAAGATGAATAAAGAGGATTGGTAAATAAAATCTATCGGCGTAGGGATGTGGCGACTCCATCTCCATATATAAACTGGAATCAGCCACTGGCCCATCAGATTGGTAGAACAATTACTCTGATGCCCACACAGTACACTGCAAACAACATATTACAAACATTTTAAAGAAGAGAAGAATAGTTGGGGTGTTCAGTCAAAAAGGAAGGCAAAAATAAATTATAATATTTATTTTTTGCCTTCCTTTTTGACTGAACACCCCAACTATTCTTCTCTTCATTATCCACGACAGTCAACCAATTACCAATTACAAACATTTTACATTTACAAACAAAGGTCAAACACAGTATACACCCTATGGTCACCTCCCTGAATACGTCAGGATGCTGTGAGGAGGCAGCCCCTCCACCTGACTCGGGGGCAGATCCTGGGCTAATAAACTCCTCCCCTTAAACTTTAAATATTAAGAAACCTGTACAAAGATATGCCGGACTGATTTTAAGGAAACGACACAATGCCTGCCTTATGAATTTTCAACTGGGAACATGGAATGTTCTCTTTCTTTACCAAACCGGGAGCACTAGGGCAGCTCCTCATGCAATTAGATGATTACAAATTGGATATCACAGCTATCCAAAAGGCAAGATGAACGGGGAACAGGATGTTTTGCCAAGAAGCACTATGTTATATATTATAGTTTTAACGAGCGAACTCACACATTTGGGACCGGATTTATTCTTAGTAAACAGATCTCCCAGCTGATAATTGATTTCAAACTCATCAATCCATGAATATGTAATCTGTGAATAAAAGACAAATTCTATATCTTTAGCATCATTAATGTGCATGACCCCATGGAACCATCACTAGAAGAGGAAAAGCACATATTTTATCAAGATCTTGAAAGACGCATGGATGATTGTCTTAGAGCCGACATAAAAACTGTGATTGAGGACTGTAATGCACAAATTGGGAGAGAGCGTGTATTTTGTTGTGTAATTGGAATGCAAAGCATACACCAAGAAACTAATGACAATGGTCAGACTCGTCAGCTTTGCAGCATCAAGAGGATTAGTGATAGGAAGCACCATGTTTCCAAGAGGAAACATACTCTTAAGAAAGAGAATCCACCTCGACTGGCTACTTGGCTACTCACTATGAGGAGGTTCAAGAAGCGATAAGCTACCTTAAAAATAATAAGGCTTCAGGAGCAGACGGTATTTACAGATCCTGTCATGGATATATGGCTAAGTGAAGAAATGCCAGATGATTGGTAAATGACAATCAGTGTCCCATACATAAGAAAGGAGACATTGTGGAATGCAGGAACTACCGAGGAATATCTCTGCTCTCTAATGGTTACAAAGTATTCTCAAGGGTGCTGTATCAGAGACTCCAACCAACAGCCGAGTGAGAAATAGGATTGTACCAGGTAGGATTCATGAGAGGTTGAGGGACTGTGGATCAGATCTTCTCAATAAAAGCAATCCTAAAAAAAGCCGGAGAGTATAACATTACCACGTACCACCTCTTCATTGATTTTCAGAAAGTCTACAAGAGTATTATAAAAGAGCTATGCTAGAATTGGGAATTTCCTCAAAGTTAGTCCGTTTGATAAGGATGACCATGAAGAAGATGGAGTGTGTTGTCCAAGTACATGGAGGACTTTTTAAGGATTTTGAAACATACAAGGGCCTAAGGCGGGGTGACAGGCTTGCCTGCTTATTGATTAATATGGCACTGGAATGTGCTGTTAGAAGCTCAGGTGTACAGATTGGAGGCACCTTATTTAACAAATTGGCTCAAATCCTTTGATTTGGACATGGTACGAAGCTTGGCATCTATGAAGGAGGCATTTCTCGCTATACAGTAATAGGCACATAGAGTGGGTCTAACAATAAATGAGTCAAAAACCAAATATAACAGCAGGTCCACAAGCATTAGATCGGCAGGATGCCCACGTGAAAATTGGTGACTTCACATTTGAGTGTGTGAACAAATTTATTTATTTGGGCTCTTTCTGACCCTCGACAATAATATGCAGCAAGAAATTAATAGAGGGTTAATTTCTGCAAACAGATGCTATTTCGGGCTCCTGAAACATTTTAAAATTAGTGTCTCTAGGAACAAGCTGCATCTTTATAAGATCCTCATAAGACCTGTCTTCTAATAAGACTTATGCTTCCGAATGTTGGACGACCTCTCGAGCTCAAGAACTAATATTCCTAAGATTCGAGAGGCGGATCCTCAGAAGAATCCTTGGATCAGTGTTCAGCGATAACGTTTGGCGACAAAGAAATAATTCTGAAATAGAATGTATAATAAAACAAATGTCGTCAGATTCATAAGGATTGGAAGGCTTCATTGGGCAGACTATGTTGCTTAAATGAAGAATGATGAGGTCCCTAAGAAACTTTTGGAAGAAATGATATATAGCAAGAGAAGAGTAGGAAGGCCAAGGCTGCAGTGGGCTGATGGAGTAGTGGAGGATGCACGGTCCATCTTAGGAGTAAGAAACTGGAGGGACGTAGCAACGAATCGAGAAGAGTGGAGGTTGATGCTGTGGGAGCCTTGACTCACCACTGAGTTGTAGTTCCTGAAGAAGAAGGTAAACAAAATTTATGAAACAAATTTAAAATGGAAAGATTTGTAGTGAAGATAAAGAACTATTTTGAGGTACAGTGTAAGATTAACTAAGAAGAAAATGATGGAAACTAAGTAGACATTGAAAAATGATACAGCAATGGAAATGGGGATGGGGTGTCTGAGCGGGCTAATGTGTTTTACATACACGCTACCCAGAAATCTGGTAAACCAAAGATTAAGAGTTCAAATCATGGTGTCAGGGGTGGTTAGGGGTGACTTTTAACTCTGGCATTAATTATTCGCCCTTTAACCTGGCCCAGAAAAAAATATCGTATAGCCTACAAGGCGAGGAAGAGGAGAAAAAAAAACACAAAATAACAATGGAAATAAAAATAAATTAACAGGTATCTGAAGATAGTTGAAAATTTGCTCATTAAAAGAGGCAAACAAAATAGCAAAAACAATGAGGAAGGAAAAAAATAATCATAAATGGTCGGGATCCTAACGAAGACAAAAAAGTACAGAAAAAATTTATAAATCAACACCAAGATTGTAAAAAAAAACTTTGATATTATACGTAAAAGCCTCAACAATAGACATGATTAAGGCAATTAGTTTGTTAAAGTCCAAGGCTCCAGGGTACTAACAGTATTTAACATCAGTCATATTATCAGGTGTGTAAATATGAACTGAAATTCATCTATATATAGCTCTAGTTGTTAATGTAGTTACTGCTAAATCGTATCATTGTGTGAAAAATGACCAGAATATCACAAAATACTACAAGTGATTTTGCTTTATGATAATGCATTATCACATATAGCAAAATCAATGAAAAAAATGAGTGAGGTGTTCAATTGGAAAATATTAGAGTATGCAGCTCACTTAGCAGACTTGGCTCAGTCAAACTTCTACTAATTTGCATTAATGTGGCACAAACTTGCTCAGTTGTGCTTCATTTATTATGAAAATGATTTAATGACTGGTACCCACAAAAAGCAACACTTTTTCTGAAAAGACATTCATAAATTCCAGAGAAATGGGAAAAAATATAGCTAACTATGGAAAATATTTTGAACAAAATATTTTAGTTTCATATTTACATGCTTAGTACTAAACAATGGGCCTGGAAGAACTGTGGTGAAATTTCACCATTTTTTTTTCCAAATAATTTACACTAGAAAAAATACTAATGAGAAATAATCAATAACTGTCATTATGGTAGAGATATTTATGACCATGAATTAAATAGTAAAAAACAATGTGCCTCAAGAAAATGAAGCTTTTCTTGGGTATTTTCATCTTTGACCACATCCCTAACCAACTTCTCTTACTAAAGTTGTTATAATTTTGGAATCAAATTAAATTAAAACATTTATTTATAACAGATATTATTTATTACCTTCTGTCTCGTGCCAAACAATTCCTTCTAATGTCACACTTGTACCTGGTTCACATGGTCCCAGACAATCAGGCTCAGTAATAGTGCCAACACTAGTCCCAACACATACGTCCACCAGCTCCTAAGGAAATATATTTTAAATGTCTAAAGTGATTAGGAAAAAAACATAACATATAAAAATTATAGAATGAAAAGTATTATAATAGATATTAGATACACACAATTAAAGCACTTATAGTTCGTAATTGAACCATCATACTAAACTAATTATTTAAAAAATGATTTAGTAAAAATAAATAGGATCAAATAAAAACATGGGAATTTATGTGAACACCCACACCATTACCACACAATTTTTAATTAGGGCGATAGTTAAAAGTAATGAATATTTAATTTAATAATTATTCTTCAATTTTAATATATATATATTATTTTATAAGGTTCATTTGTATATTAGATATCCAAAATCATGAATAAACCTTGGACTCCAAAATTGGTATTTAAAATTTTCTTTTTTTAATTACGGATAAATATTTTTATTTCTGACTAAATATTTTTGTTTGAAAATAAAATTCATTTCAGAATATATTTTTAATAAATAAGCTAATTTATCAGATTTATTGAACAATTTAGAATATCAACTTTTCAGTTAACAGTACTTCAGTAAAGTACTTCTAATAATCTTTTCTAATTAAAAAAAGATAAAAATGTCCAACGAGAAATATTATTGAAATACCATAACTGAAAAATATTGAAAATGGATAAAGTCATTCTGTCAACTAAAATAATCACACATCAACTACAACTTAAAACAAAATAATTTTTATTGTTTCAAACCATGAATTAAAATGACTATATGTATGCATTATATGAGGACGATTGGTTTAGAACATTTTAAGTGGAATCAGCTGGATAGGCCCTTCAAAATAATAAAAAAGTGGTGAAAATTGAAAAGAAAAGATATTTATGATAGTTAGTTGAATGTAATACATTTTATAGATGATCAATATTCAGGAGAGATACTTCTTGTATCAGGAATTGAAATTAATGGTTATTATTATTCCACACTTTCATCAATCTCACCAATTTTCTAGGAAATTCTACCTGTCATGATTTTCCAGACTTCTTCTGTCTATGGAATCATAGGCTGCTTAGAAATTTACAAGTAAGGAATGTATATTCTGAGCTACTTCCATTGTTTTTTATGACCTGTTTTATATTTTATTATTATATTTTTATAATGTTTTATATAACATGAGACTTCTAAAGGAATGGTGCCTGGAAAATGGCCTTGGCATAAATCTGCAGAAGATAAACCTCTGTGTCTTCACTAATAGAAGAAATATTAACATTAGACCACCATCTTTAAATGGGTTGACATAAATATTTGAAGTGAAGTAAAACATCTTGGGATTACTCTAGATAGTAAGCTGAATTGGCTAATACATATTGAAAAGATTAGTGGAAAAGCTATACACTGCCTATGGGCGTGTAAAAGAGTCGTTGGTAAATTGTGGGAGCTGATACCCAGCATGGCCTTATGGCTATACAGAACTGCGATTAGACCTATAATCCTCTATTCAGCCGTTATGTGGTGGCATAGGACAGCTGCGGGCAGGCCTAGAATACTGCTTGGAAAGCTTCAAAGGTTCGCATGCCTTATGACGACAGGGGCTATGAGCACTACTCCAACTGCTGCAATGGAAGTTCTATTGAATCTGACACCAATGCATTTAGAAGTGGAAGCACATGCTCTCAGAACTGCCTATAAGATGGAAAAACTGGGAACGAGATCAAGATTCCTGACGTTTCAGGGACATGGGATCGTTTTTGATAGGATTGATAGTAATGAGGTACTTGCAATGAGCTCTGACCTACTAGTTGATAAATATAGAGACATACTATATAATTTGAATATAAGCAGGAGTAACTCACATCGTCCATGTAATGGGGTTAATTGTTATACAGACGGATCCTTAATGGACCAGGGATCAGGGGCTGGTATCTGGAGAAAGGATAGGCCTAACAAAGGGGAAAGAGGGAGAGAATCACTTTATTATCATAAAATAAAATGGTGCTGCCCAATTACAGGTAAATACACATCCGTCTTTCAAGCCGAGGTCTTAGCCATCGATTTCTGTGCCCAATCACTTATTTAGGAGGGCATTGGGAATAGATTGATTACAATATATACGGATAGTCAGGCGGCAATTGGGGCCCTGAATAGTTATGCAAGTCGCTCAAAGTTGGTGGATGAATGCAAACACAATCTTAATCTTCTTTGCAGTACAAACAATGTGAGAGTGGAATGGGTGCCTGGGCACTCGGGGGTTCCAAGAAATGAGAAGGCTGATTACCTTGCTAGGAAAGCCTCTGCACAGTTACCGGTTGCAGCAGAGCCTATTTGTGGTATGTCTTGGTTTTGCCAAAAGATATATTAAGACAATTGTGGCCAATAAATTCATGCTACATTGGACAGAGACTAGGAGGCAGATTCATTCGAAATTATTCCTGGTAGGGCCCTGCCATAGGAGAAGCAATTCACTTCTTCTTATGGACAGGAACACAATTAGGCGGGTGACAGGACTGTATATTGGTCACTGTCAATTAAATAAGCACCTTTTTAATCTGGGTATAAATGAAACCTCCACCTGCAGGCTGTGTGGCCTGGAGGATGAAACAGCCTCTCACATTATTTGCAAATGTGATAACTTGGCTAGACTGCGATACTTTCACTTTGGATGTGATCGTATCACTGACCCCAAGCACTGCGGGTTCATTGATCCCGCCAGGACCAATAGGTTCATGAAGGCATCTGGCCTGTCTTATATTTTGGGTGTTTTAGGGGAGTGCAAATTAGTTCATGTTTTCTGTTAAAATTTAATTGTCTAAATCATATTATTTTTAAAAGAACATTTGTTTTTATTAGTTATGTTCTGAATAAGTTTTTGGACGATTTAAAAAATAAATTAAAACATTTATTTTGAATTATATTTAAAAATATAATAGACAAAATAAACCGAACTACTTCACACTGTTTTGCACATAAATCAGAAATAAATGTATTAGGAAATGAAATGAAAGTACTGTAGTTTTGTCCCTTTATAAGAAAGGAGAATATCCATCGAGATTCATTCCTGTTTGGTGTACCAAGGAAACTCTATCCAAGAATTGAAGAAGCTAGAATAAGAAATATTGTCAATTGTCAGAGCGATATGGTTTGGGAAACTCAAGTTGCACATTGGAAAAGAAGTTGCAAATTGGGTATTCACTTTAAGGCAGGTTATAGTGAAGTCCATCAAGAAAGAAAAATAGCTATTTATCTGTTTAGTGCCTCACACTTTGGATTGTGCTAATATATACTAGTCTTTCAGAAAAGCTCGTTTTCCTTTCAGATTCCTTCAAAAATCTTTTGCAAATATGCACTAAACAGAAAGAGAGCTATTTCTCTTTCTCGATAGACCTCTCTATAACCTGCTTCAAAGTGAAGATAGTCCCAATGTTCACTTCAGCAAATTTCAGTAACAATTGAAAATAAAGTGGTTTTCACCATAATAAACCTTGCTTACTTCGTCCAGACCTGCTAACTTGCCAATTGCTTTAAAAAATCAGCAAATATTTCTTGCTGATAAAATGGTCTTCACCATAATAAACCTGCATCGTCCCCTTAATAACAGCCAAACTGCTCCAGCATTTGATCCCCTTTTAGCAGAATCTTGAAATATTCTGTTCATCTGTCTACTATATATATTCGTTTAGCCATATAATGGATATTGATCCTTATTTTCTTTTCAGAGATATTAGCACTTCCTTTCTCGTTTGATTAATGTATTTTTCCAATTTTTGGGTTCAATATCGCGTTTTCCCTCATTTTGAGACCAAATACTAACAATCAGTTCCAGTTACCAAGAAGAACTTATGGCTTCGCCCTTTCCATCTTTCTTTTTGCAGAGAGAATAATGCATTCAATAATAAAATTTCCTAATTTTTTATGATATAGTCCAATTCTGAATAAAATAAAGAAATAAAATATAAGATAAAGAAAATAATTTTTTTTTTTTTTTTTTGTGATACATGAGTTTTACTAAACAACCCATCACTATTCATTATATGTAGTTCAGATTGGGTAAATATTATTTTAGTTTATAAAACAGGTATTAATATTACTCATTTCCTGGGCAGTATATACAAAACAAAGTGTTAAATTGCAAGAGTTAAATAAAAAAATTCAAGATATTCAGCAAAGTATTTTTGAATTAAGTTTTATTATTATAATTATATCATTTTTACAATAAAGGCCTTCTTAAATGACCTCTGTATAGAATAAAAGAAATTAAATTTTTAAAAAAATTGTTTAATTTTTTTGACAATTAAATGATTGCATTAATATTTGTTCATAATGCAATTAATATAATGTACCAAAAACGTTATTATATCACTATAACTAGAAAATTTATGAGTACTGAATGGTGTGGTAGAGGCCTGTAGGCATCTACGCCAGTACAGTTTTTCTACTGCTTAAGTGCATTTTCTACGGAATTGTCTCAAATATTTTAAAAAGTAATCAGTGTTTTAGAAAGAGAAATATATTATCCAGATGTTTCAGCACGTTTTCTATTATTGTCGGCCATTTAATTACAAACGATGCTTGATTTTAAACTTGAAATTTTTTTTGTTAGAACAATTGAATTTACTGGTATTTTTTATTGCCTAAACCAATTATTTTATTATTCTCTGACTATTCAGCTTCAATAAAAGACCAACTATGACAAAATTAAGCCAAATGCTGATTCTCAGTGACCAAAAAACTAACTAAAGTCAAAGTCGTCAATCCGCCATGTTCAGACGCCATCTTGGAGCAGTGCGTTCACTTTTTTTTGGAGGAATATTGGCGTTTTTTTAATAAATAGTTACAAGAAACACAACGATATACAATTTATAAGGATGTGGGGGGGAGGGGGTGCACGGTAGGGGTCTTTTAATTCAATACTTCCTCCTGCCTATGCGGATAACCCATTTTCTCCCGCTATTCCAAATTCCAGCCCATATTTTCTCTAATAGATCGCATTCAATTATTGCTCCATATTCCCGAGGCATTTTTTTAACTACAAGTATCTTCAG